GGAAGGAAGGAAGGATAGAAGGGAGGAAGGAAGGAAGGGAGGAAGGAAGGAAGGAAGGAAGGAAGGAAGGAAGGAAGGATGGAAGGGAGGGAGGGAGGGTGGAAGGAAGGGAGGGAGGAAAGAAAAAGGCCAAGGGCAAAGTATAACCCCTACACCGTCTCTCCCACTACTCTCAACCTGGCTCTCCTAATAGGAGCTGATCTCTGACAGCTTTTGAGCTATGATGTGATGTCACAAGTGGAAAATTCCAGAGATGCTCTAAAAATCCTGTGTGAAATCCCCTCCATGCTGTGTGGGTAAGGTGTAGAGGACGCAGATGCATACTGCACTTAGCCCTGGGTCTATCTGAAGCATATTTCACTGTGAGTACACAAACATCCCAAAGTGTAAACAAAATCCAAACCCAAAACATGCTGGTGGTGACATTCTGGGTAAGGTTACTTAGCCCCTCAGAGGAGGGACAAAGAGAAGGTGCACTGAGAAGCCCAATATGTGCACACAGGGGACTTCTGGGGAAGGGGCACTTCAATAGTTTTTATTAGTGTTTCTTAGGCATGCAAGGTTATGAAAAATCATTGTATATCACCTACTTTGTGCATATTTTTTCTGCAAAGAAAATTATTGCTGCTCAGTCACATGGACAGGTTTGGGGGTGATGGAGCATGTGATGAAACATGGCCCATTGTAGCCAATCAGGTAACCAAAGACTTCTATCATTTATATTAACCCAACCAAGTGTCCTTCTAACACTTCCTCTTCTACACAGAACCCTGGCAGGCAGGAACCAAGAAGGCTCATACCTTCTTGCATTGAGCAGAAGAAGGCAGTGCATGAGACACAGGAGGAAGCCAATGTTGGAGTTGTAGGTGGCAAACACGACATCCCAGTGCGCCTGCAGAAACTCCAAGATGCTGAGCAGGTTGAGGCATTCAGACAGGGACTGTTGGGGCTTGGAGAGGCAGTAAAGAATGACTTTGTTCAGACTGCTATACAAGGTGATGAGGACAGTGTCCCTTTGGGGAGAGGGGCTCTCGATGACCTATGAAGTAAAAACAAGATGCACACACACACCAGTGAGCACTTGGCAATGCTCAATAGGGACCCGGTTTACATAAACACCATGCAATCCCCAAAGTGACAGGATGTGAAATTCAAATGGAACTTGGCTCCTCTACCTTTGAGGTTCTACCTGAGGGAGTGATTGCTCAAGGAAATTCAGAATTTGGGTAAAAAGCTTGCGTTAGAAAAAGTTAAAGCTCACCATGATCATATTATGGAAAATATATTCAGTGACCAGAGATTTCTGAAATACTGGTGACATGGCTGACATTCGGTGTATGAGAAGATCAGTGAGAAATACTGATTTCTTAAAATAAATTCATATCATTTTTTGGTAATTATTATCACTTATAATATTCCTGGCATTATGATAAGTATTGTTGATATTGATTTGCATCAATTTAAGTATACTCCCTTGTTTGAATGTCATAACATCCCACGCAGACACTGAGTTAACCCCACTTTAGCCATAAGTAGCTGAAGGTCAGAGGTCAGGGGTCAGCAAGCATCAACCCCATTCCAGACACTGGACCATGCTTGCCACATCCTGTCATCCAAAGGATGCGGGAACCACCTGGGTTAGCTTATGGAAAATGCAGGAGGGAGGCAGAAGGTCCTGGTTTGTAGCCTCAACGCGGATTGGTCCATACAAGTGCTGGGCGCAGGGAAGGGAGTCCACAGAACCTGACATGGGCAGAGTGTCACAGTGGATTAGATGAGGTACTTGCTAGTCACAGATGTCCCTTAAACCTCCATGAGCAGTGTGGGTCTCCTACTCCAGGAAGTCAGGTTTAATTCCCCCAATGAGATTTGGGGTTCATGTCTACTTCATCATCTTCTCCTGCTCCTGCAATTACCACACCTCTCAGAACACAGTTAAGGGTGCAGGCACCCAGGCAGCGAGCAGAAGAGCGGGAGGATGGGCATGAGGAGAGCATGGGCCTGGGGTCTGCACCCCGCGGCACCCCAGCCCCAGAAGGTGCTACTCTTTGGTTGGTGCTGAAGACTTGCTTTGGTCACTGAAGCTCTGTTCCTTCTCAAAACAACTCCCCAAGGGTCTGATTTTTATCCTGTCAGAGCTGACAAGGACGATTTCTCCCTGCTGAAGGGACCCCTGAATCCATTCTTTCTAGACTTCCGGGACCTGACCATCACCCTAAGAACTGTGCTGAGGCTGGGTCTTGGGTCTGCAGGTGGTAGCTCCAAAGTGGGGAGAGAAAGGCCGGTCCAATGCCCAAGATGACCCAGATGGTGGGCTAAAGCACAATGAGACCCTAGTCACAGGGAGGGTCCATGTAGGGGGACACAGCAGCTCTTTAAGAGGGCCCTGAGCAGCCAGGGAGGCCAGCGTGTGAAAACAGCCCCACTTAACTCAAGAATTTCAGGTTGCACAATTCTCTGTGTGCACACACACACAATGCACACACACCTGCCCTGAGAGATCGCTCCAGAGACACGCACTGCCCCACATGGGCACAAAGGTGGATGTGTTTCTGTGCAGACAGGGGGCACAGGCAAGAGCACTGCGACCCGGCAGAATAGAGTCCTGCCTGCATTTCAAAAAAGCACAAAAACAAGCAAAGGAGACATTACAGACAAAAAAGAAATAGGGTTTTTAGAGACAAGGGCCTTTTGCGCCTCATGTGGGAGAGGACTGACAGTAGTAGAGGTTAAACCACAATCAGTAAAGACTCAAAAAGGAGGAAGTAGAATCTGAAAGGCCACAGTGGTCAGCGCACAGGCAGGGAGCTGAGGAACCAGAGGTCACAGGGTCGCGGCCTTGTACAGGGCACTGTGGTCCCAGGCACTGAGGAAGGCACCAGCTGCTCTGAGGCCAGGCTCTGCTGGGTACCGGGAGCTGCCGGGCATCACACAGCCCTCATCACCTCCTCTTCCCCACCTATCTCAGGCTCTATTTCCGCATAGGAAGGCAGACGCAGTCGTACAGAGCCCAAGGGCACAGTACAGATTCCTGGTGTCCTCCCAGATGCCTTCTCCTGCATCACTTACCACCATGATGTGCTCTGTGAGGAAGAGCAGGATGTGCTTGGGGTCTGCCGAGAACATGCCACCATACAGCTTCTCCACCAGCCTCTGGGCGAAGTGGGAGATGTTCCAGAGGGAGGGTACAGCAGCAGCCTCTGTGCTGTGCTGAGGCTCGCTACTGCCTGGGTCGGGGAGACACCAAGAGGGAGTGTGACATCACTCGGATGGCCTCCAACCCCTCATGGCCACCAGCCACATCATCCCACCCCACCCTTCATCAATCCAAGATGGGTTCTGAGCACCCACTGAACAGTCAGGTCTCCAAGTAAACCCACGGTGAGTGATCCAGTGGATGACCAGAACTGAGTGGTGAAACTCAAGCAAGGTTGGCTCCCCCATGATTTTGGAATAAGAGTGGGTGCATTTAATGCTTAAGCCAAATGAAAAGGCACTGTCGTGACTGAGGCTGTGTCACACAGGGGCAAGTGTAAAGCTGCGATGTGTAAAGCGCTGTGCTGGGGACCATGGGGAGCTTGCTCAGCCCTGGTACCTCCCTGACTCAGCCTTTATGACATCTCCACTCACAGCCCCAGCCCTTATCCTGTCACCCTATTGCTGTGGGTTGCCACCTGCACACACTCAAGTATATCCAGGAGCAGGACCCAGAAGGGGAGGGCCTCAAAACAGGAGGAGGAGATGGGTTGCACCACATGGAAGGCCTCCATCCACTGAGCTCCCCTAACACAGCCCCAGCCTCGGATGCTGCAGTGCAGAGGCAACACCCCTGCCATGGTCACTGTGTGCTGCAAGGGGGTCACACTGCTGGCCTCTTGCTCATCACTCTGCAGCTCCATGCCAGGGGCAGGAGGACCATGCCAGACTTACCTGGGAGAAGCAGGGTGCTGCCTGTGCTTGGGGTGTGGAAGATTTCCATGGTGGACAGCAGGACTTCAGACTGGAAGTCTCGCTTCTGCTGGCTGCTGGCATTGTCTGGAGAAGCCTGAAGCACAGCCAGGTCTGAGACAACAGCACAAGGTCCCTGTGCCACTGCATGTCCATTGGGCCTGGAGGGGCACCAATGCCTGCCCCTGCTCGTGAGCACTGCCCTCTGCTGTCCCAGGCACTCAGGGGCCACGGGAAGCCCACAGTGATGGCTACCCAGCCAATAAATGCCCCAAGGTGAGGCTTCTGGGATGTGGCTCCAGCTGATTCTCCTCAGGGCTGGCTTCCCTCTCTCCTCCTGAGAGCAGCCCAACCACCCCCGTAAAACCCTCTGCAAAACCTTTGCCTCAGGCTCAGCTTCTGCAGACCCTGCCCTGGCTCACCCCACCCCCATGCCTCCAAAGGACACACAGTGACCATGCCATTCCCCACCCACCTCCAGGAACACATCCAGCGGCTGCCACTGCTTGGGGCTGGGGGCTCCAAGCAGCAGCTCCCTCAGCAAGTCCTGTGTGAACTCCCTCAGCTGCCTCTGGCCAGGGTGGAAGGAAGCAGGGGCCTGGGGATCCTCTATGGTGCTGTTCCCTCCAGCTGCAGCACCAGGACTGATGGTGCTCTCAGTGGACTCAGCCACAGGGCCCTAGATGACAAGGGAACCATAAGAAGTGTAGCTTGGCCTGCCTGAGGCCCTGACACATCTGCTTCTGCCCAGCTCAGACAAGATTGTCACCATCCCGTAGACCAGAGTGCAGCCAGCCCGGCTGCTGCTAAGAGGACTGCTGGGACCTGGGGACCTGAGACGGCTAGGGCTGTGTGAAGGAGCTGATCCTTGCCTCATCACTGCTCCAAGCCAGTTGCTGTCAGCTAATAGCAGTCACCAGGGCCTGGGGGAGAGGAGAGGAGAGGAGAGGGGATGCAGTGACCCCTGGCTCCTGCCTCATAGTGGTGTCCTCGCTGCTACACTCTGCCCACGTGACAGTCAGGTGCAAAAAGGGTGACCCTGAACTGCACTGTTTCTTCAGAGAAGAGCCCCAACCCCTTTACACTCAGTTTCTTATTTGAGGTTTATGAAGCTGCCAGGAGAGTGAGACAGGGGTCATTTTCCAGGCCACCCTTCCTGGAGGACATGGGCGTGCCAGAAGATGGGTGGCACATCCAACGACACTGGCCACGGCCCGACTCCAACCCACCAACTTCTCCTGCACCTTCATCTGTTAGCACCTCCCTTTGCTCATTCATAAAATTAATGCAGCCATTCTTAATTAAGCCATAAAATGAATTTAATAGCACCTAGGGAGGTGGTGACTGCATTAATTAGCTCTGTGTGGCCTTGACTGGAAAGATGCCGTATAAATAACCCCAAAGCCTTGTGCCCATAGTTTTTTGTGGGAACAGGGTCCATCATGACCCTGGGCAGCACAGCCTGGCAGGGCTGACTCAGAGCTGGGACCAGGCATGAAGGGGTATGGAAGGGGCCTCGGAATTGAGCCAGAAGCCCCAAGCAGGCCCCACTGGCCCACCGGGCACTGACTGGCTGGGTAGGAGGCTTTGGGCTGGGCCCTCCTCCCATAGGCATCTCCTGATTACCATGGGAGGAGCTCAAACTGCCTCAGTAAAGCCAGGCCAGGCCCTAGGGGTCGGCCTCAGGGTTGCAGTGTCAGGCCTTAGACTGAGGGCCCTGGCCCTGTGCAGTGGTGGCAAGGGCAGCCCAAGTGGTGGCCCCTTTTTTTGGCCTGACCTGCAAGTGTGAACCCCACCTCTCTACCCCTGTGCCCCTTCCATTCTCTTTATGGCCCTTTTTCACTTTTACTACCCCAGTAAGTTACTTGAGTTGACGTTAATCCATCAAACCATTTTGGGGCCAATTTTTCTTTTTTTATGTATCTTCTACTCTTTTTCATTAAAATTGATTATACTCATCCCTTAGTCCCCATGGGGGTTGGTTCTAGGTCTCCCTAAGGGTACCCAATTCCTCAGGAGTTCGGGTCCCTTAACTGAGATGTACAATGTTTGCATAAAACCTATGCATTGCTCCTGTATAATTTATCTTTAGGTGACTTATGATGCCTACTATGATGTAAGTGCCGTGGAAACAGCTGCTATATTGCATTATTTAGGGAAGAGTCACAAGAAGTCTGTACACCTGCAGTACAGGTAAAACTTTCTTAAAACTACTTTCTTTCTGGGGCTGCTTAAACCTCCAGATGCAGAGCCCAAGTTTATGAAAGTTTTACTGCACTCTCACATTTTACTTCGTGATTAAATTTTGTTTTACCTGAGCTGTTTATTAATACTCCAATTCTACTGCTTCAAGTGCATCTCAACTTTGGGAGGTGGGAAGGAATTCGCCCTTCAGCAGAGAGAGATGAAGAAGTCCTCACCCTGGGGTGAGTGAGGTGGTGACTTGTCCTACCTTTTGGGCTCCCATGGGGAAGGTGATTGTGGCTAGGGTTTGCAGGAAGTCAGGGGCCCTCCAGGCCGGGTCCTGGGGGTAAGTGCGGTGCACAAGACGCAGAAAGTGCAGCACACTGGCTGGGAATGTCCTCTCCCATGCGCCTTCTTCATGACCTGCCGAGGGCTGAGGACACACTCTGTGAGATGCAGTCCGGGTCAAGGTCAGGGTACATAGCAGTGAAACAGAACAGCCTGAGCCTAGACTGCAGACTTCTTCCTAAGATCACAAAGGGCATGCTGCATGCGTCACCAAGACTACATCCAGCACAGGATGGGCGTCACATGAGGATGATACAGTGTGTTCAGACGCTGTCCCCAGTCTGCACATGCTGTCCTCTCCTCACCACAGAGCAACACTTTTAGGTAGGCTCTGTGTGGACCTCTTTTCTACAGAAAGGGCCCAGAAAGGTTCCATCACTTGCCAAGGTCACCCCAAGGTAAGGATCAAAGCCAGGGACTGACCCTCATGAACCACTGCAGACACAGCATGCATGCTGAACCCAATGGGAGTGCCCACCAGAATCACCATCTTCCCCAGCACTTTGTTAACTCCCTCCTGGACAATAACTGGGCAAACCCTGTGTCCTGCTGGTAAGGTATAGGATGAGTCATGTCCTGGGCTGGTCCCACTGCCTTGCCTGGCCATTAATGTGTCCACTGTGACCTCTCCCATAACTCTTGGCCACATGGCCCACACAAGGAAACTCGAACCTAATTGCAGAAAGGTAGGAAAGACAGGTGGAATTGCAGTTCTGGGACCTGATGAGGGTTTGGAATGAGCAAGAGCGGGCAGAGGAACCATTTCTGAAGCCACCTGCATTTGAGCCCCTCAGACCCTCCAGCACAATATTAGATTTTCAAGAAAGAACATGCAAGAGGAAGGCAGAGAGTTATCTCAGGAGTTCTTCAGCCTGGATGGAATCCAGCCTCTGCCACTTAGTACAGCCTGGCTTGGACCTGTTCCTTTTCTGCAAGGGAGAGGGTCCTGGAGATTGAGCCCAGGGCTCTTACATTGTGCTACATCTCCAGTCCTTTTTTATTTTGAGACAGGTCTTGCTAAATTGCCCAAACTAGACTTGTACTTGGAGATTCCCAGCTTGGCCTCCCAGCATACTGGGACTACAGGTGTGCGCCACCATGCCCAGCTGGACCAGCTCCTTATTACCACTATGCCATGGGCTCCAGCTTTATTGAATGAGAATCCTGATGCAATCTGTTTCAGAAGGTTGCTGCGAGGATTGAGTGAGACATTTTAGCAATGTGACTTATTCCCACAGTGACTAGCACAGAGTAAAAACAGAAGCAGTTACAAGATGAGGTCTTGGACTTACAGAAGAGGAATTTGGATTTGATCTACCAAACTACAGAGACCCCTGAAGGTCAAGGCATGGCCACGAAGTACATGTGTGACCTATGTGCCCATGGTCTAGGACCCCACTTGGATGGAGCTTCTGCATCTCACAATGGAGGGAATGCTGTCTCTTCCAATGGATTATCACATGCAGTAGAATGTCTAATATTAAAAAAAAAACTAACAATGAAAAATATTGGCAAAGGTGTGGAGCAGCAAGAACTTTGACAAAATGAGAGCTAGAGAGAGTGTAAATTGGTCCTTCCACTTTGGAGAATTATTTGGCATTACTGACTAAAGTAAGTCCTGTGTACAGCTAATCCCTCACAGTTCTATTCTTGGGAACATTTCCAATAGAAAGGGAAATATCCACCAAAAAGCAGGTATGTGGAAACTTCATTCCTGATATTTCCAAAATGAAATAACCCAGAACGGATTGTGATTAACTATAACAAGAAAATAACACTCTGCAGTGAAAAAATTGAATCACTGACATCCACAACAACGAGTGAATCCCATGACACAGTGGCGAGTGAAAGAAGCCAATGCAAAAGAGTATGTACTGCACGGTTCTCTTTATATCAAGGTCAAGGACAGACAGCCTCATCTCTGGTTACCACTGAGCAAGGGTAAATAGCCAAGGAAAACAAACCACCAAAGAAAAAGGAAATAAACAGAACTGTTTGGAAAAGACATAATATAGCTATTTTTACAATTAAGTTTGTAGCTTTTTCCCCTTATTCTTCTATGTTCTGTTTTTCACATTGAAATGCTGTCTCCTATGTTTGGTAAATGATGCTCTCACAACATGTGCCTGTACTGTACCAAAGCAATCACTGCGAGGCTTCATTCTCAGAATAAGGAGCCTGGATCTTACTCTTTACCTCATCTGACAGTCACGTGTCTAATGTGAGCTTAACCTTCTGGTGTTTGTTGCTATAGTAGAAATGTTTGGGTTCACACCTATACTACTGTTGGCGTAATACACTTTTTCTCTGTTGTTAATGAGCTTTTGCTGTTCTTTTGGTTTGCCCTATCTTTAACAACATTAATTAAGTAGGGTAGCAGATTCTTTATAATGTAAATAGAAAACATACATCTTTTCAGGCACCCCAAAGTTAATTGCACACTAGTCCTACAATAGAATGAATAAATATCTCAAAGATAGAAAATGCACTGCTTGTATAATCTGACAAGGGTAAAAACAAAACTAGAAATAAATGAAAAATAAAAATCAAAAACCCCAACTACATGGACATTGAAAAATAGAAATCAAAGTGATCTTTACAATTGCAATCACAAAAGTTCTAAAAGACAACCAAAAATGAAGATGTTAAATAGAAAAATCATAGAGGTTGACAGAAGAAAACCTCAAGAAACTGATAATTATATACAAGATCTGATTCTCTAACTAAATCCACAAGCCTTTAGGTCCTAAGCAGCAGGAGTGGTATGATAAAGAAAGAATGTGAGCTCCCAAATTAAGAGCAAGAACAGAAAAATAACACAGCAAATTAAATGAATTAAAAGAGGTCTGCCATAGTTTAGGTCTGGGATGTCCTCCAAGGTCCATGTGTCAAAGACTTGCTCTCCAGCTTGGCACTGATGGGAGGCAGTGGAAGATTTAAGAGGTGGGGCCTCATGGGAGGCCTTTAGGTCATTGTTGTCATGGCCTTGAAGGGGATGGTGCATTCCTGGTTTCTCCCTTTCTCTTTTTTGCATCCTGTCAGTGAAGTAAGAAGTCTTGCAGTTTCACACATTCGTGCTATGATAACTCACTACAAGTCCTAAGTAACAGGCCAACTGGTCATGTAATGGAAAGGTAATCAACACAAAACATTTTGTGCAAAATGAATAAATGAAAAACTATATCTAAATATCAATTAACTAAACTAGGTCAAGAAGACACATGTAAAAGCTTTAAACACTCAATAGTCATGGAAAAATTTAGTGACAGGCAGCCTCATAGGAACCATTTAAAGTACATTCTTGAATATAAAGGAGATTAGTCACTTTTATATAAAACTAGCAAAAGGACAACATCAAAAACTGGTAAAGGTATAACAAAAAAAGAAAACTGCAGCCCAACATAATTTACAAAGATGCATACAAAATCACAAACATTTACAAACAAAACAAGGAAGTACTCTTTGAAAAATTAAGAACAGGAGGACTAAATAAGATCTTTGTAAGAATACCACAAAATCTATTGATAGAATTCATCATAGAAAAGTGGGGGGGAAAGCACACAATTGTGGGCTGATATGCTAAGAGACTACTGAATAAAAGTGAAAAAAAATCGTGTCTTCAAAAAGGGCAAAAATTGTGATGTAAATTTTCTCCACATAACCACACACAAACACATACACATAGAAACTGGCAAATGACACAAAAAAGCAGCTCAAAGTAAAATAAATAGAATTTATGAGCACTTGAAAAGTGATTTTAAAAGACAGAGTAATAGTAATAGTAAATGCAAAAGAACTCAACTATGGAACAATCACCCCTAAGTTGTGACACTGTTGTAGGCTGTGGATGGAGCTTCGGACTTTGATACAAGACATCGACGGACAAGGGACAGTGAGATGTGTTATGTACATGAGCAGTGTTTAATGCGATCGTCCTGAGAAGCACACCTAAAAATGCACACAGTGTGCGCTGTAACCCGACGTCCATACCCTAGAGTTTATACCAGGGAGGTCATCAAGGAAAAGATGTTTGTTCAAGAAAGTTCATTACAGACTTTTTATAGCAACACTCCGAAGGTCAACATAAATTTCTATTACAAATACAGATGATTCCTACAGTCTCCCACTCTACTGATGTGGAAAGACAGTAACAAAATTTTGAAGGAATAAATGCAAAACGGGTTTGTGGTCTCCACATCTGTAAGGATACGTTGTGGTCTGTAGACATGGAGAGCTTGTGGAGGAAACTCTACTGTTTTGGTAAAATGCATCTCCCAGCCAGGGTGCACAGAGCTCCTTAGGCCCTTTAGGCTGGACTTCCTGTTGCACCCAAGTCACCTTTAGGAGCCTGCTCAACTCTTCCATTTCATCTTATGAAGTACCACCCGCTGTGGCTTGAATGTGTCCCCTGAAAGTTCATGTGCTGCAAGCTTAATCATTGAACTCCTGTGCTCCTGGTATGTGAAGGAGGAGCTGTTGGGAGGTGATTATGACGAGATGTCCCAAGGGTGGCCTGTGGTGGCTCTGATGTCCTTAGAGGAGGAAGCGAGATCCAAGCCAGCATACTTGCTGTCTCGACACATGATGCCCCCACCCTGCTACAGTTCAGCAGGACAGCCTTGACAGGTACCTCAAGAGCATGGCCTCCAGACTGTGAGCTAAACAAACCTCTATCTTTATAAAGTACCTGGTCTTGGGCATTTGGTGATAGCCCCAGAGAGAGGACTAAGACATCAGCATCCCTGGGAAGCAACTGGTGGGGGGATCAAGGTGGACCTTCCCTACTCACCTCCCACCAGAATCTTCTGGGGTGGCATGTGGGAAATGGCTCACCTGGCTCATGGTAGCTCTCAGCATTTCCAGGAGCAGCAGGGCACCTTCTGTGCATAGTCCAGCCCGGAGCACTTCTTGCTGGTGGTGCTTCTGCATGAGCCACTGCAACATGGCGTCCAGGCTGTCCTGCAGGAGGAGGCAGGCCTGTGAGGAGACCCAGGGCACATGCCCAGAGCACCAGCTCTGTGGCCCTTGCAAAACCTGTTCTGGGGCACCCTCAAGAGCAAAGAAGCACAGCACCCTAGCAGCCAAGGTACATGGCGACCAGAAACTGCAGGTCAAGAGAGCGTGCCTGAGGGAGGCAACCCCACTGAAGGCACTAAGGCCCCACTCATGACCTGTCCCAAGTTGGGTGGGTTCCCTTGGGCTCAGGACATGGCTTGCCCAGCACGGGCATGGGCCTGGGTCTCATCCTCAGCACCAATCCTCAGCACCAATAAAAGAGCACAGCTGGTTTTTTTAAAGTTTTGTTCTTTTGGGCTGACCTCACAAGCACTCAATGTCCTAAAGAATGATCTTTTATAAATGAAGTTATAGGAGGCATAGGAAAAATTCAAATGTTGAGGGGAGTTGTGATGTAGACAGAAGAACAGGGATTTAGAATCAGGACTCTGAACATGTGTGTGGAGGGTAGAGTCTGTTCAACCTCCTAACGGCTCAGTTTCCTTGTCTGTGAGAATAAAAGAATCCCATTATCCACCCCAAGGGATTGTTTAAATACCAAGCAGAATAAAATATGTAAAGCATCTATTGCAGGTCCTGACTCTTGGCAGATATTTGCTTCCTACAATATGTTCTTAGAGAAATAAGATTCCAGGTCTCTGTGAACATAGCATAGTACATTCAGAACTTTACTTTGAAGTATGCTCTACAATACTGTATTTTCAATATGTATCGAGACATAGATCTGCCAAATATAAGAACATATAAAAGAGACAAATGCTTGAGCTCTCTACACCCATTCATGCCCTTGCTCTATTTCAATTCAGTTCAGTTTCAGTCAACCAAATTAAGACCAAGAAATGATTTCTAAGCCTGCTTTGTGTCAGGTGCCCAGGAAGGTCAGTAAAAGGTGGGCTCTGTCCTCCAGGTGCTCAGTATCTACAGAGGCAGGTACATGGGGTGCCATAGAACACAAAGGTACACAGGTACATGGGGTGCCATAGAACACAAAGGTACACTGAGGCAAGAAGAGGAGGAATCTAGGAACTGTGTAGGAGGTGGCACTGGACCTGAGTCTGGGGAAGGATGCTCCCACCAACCAGGTGACAAAGGAAAAAAGAACTAGTAAGGACACTGGGTGGGTGAGTACAGAGCAGCTGGTCTTCTTGGAGAAATGACCCAGTGCAAGGACAGCAGGGATGGCAAGTTAGAGACAAGTTAAGGACCCAAACACAAGCTACCATGGTGCTCCATCCAGATTCTGAACCCAATCTTGCAGGAATGGCAGCCAACAAGACTTGGACTTAAAGCGCGAGGCTGTGGAGGGTGAGGTGGGTGCAGATGAATGAGTGAAAGGAGGGTGATCCTGTGCACAGGGAGTGTGGACTTCTCTTGGGTTATTCTTCAGAAAGGCTAAGAGTGTAGTAAATAGACAGCAGTAGATCCAGAGTGAGTCCAGGGCAGCCTCTGGTACTCAGTGGGACTGTTTAACACATTTGTGTCCTCAAGGATGAGTCAGTAGAAAGGGAGATACTGAAAAGACAGTGCAGAGAGAGGATGAGGGTGGCCTGTGTCACCGAGGAAGAAGGGGCAGATTCCCAGGACAGCTGGAAAGCCTGCCTTCCCCATGCCCACCCACAGAGGGTGATGAAGAGGGTCACAGGGAAAGCAAGTGCCCAGCCAGGACCTTATTTCTCAGCTGGGTCCAGGAAGAGAAAGAATTTAACACAAGACTGATCCAAACCAGACTTGCCAGGAGGGGTGATGGCTAAGGCTTGGGGGTCATGGGCTAAGAGGAGGCTGCTTGAGAGCTCCTTGGGTGTGCACCACGGGGGAAAAAAGTGAGTCTGACATTTGCAGTCCAAAGGAGCAGTGGTAGTGAACAGTCTTAGGAAGCTGCTTCAGTCATGTAGAATCAGAAAGTGAAGCACCCGCAGCCCCAAGGTGCCCCCAGGATCTACCTTGGGCCCATCCGTCAGCTCTGTCAGTGGGGTCTGCAGGAAGAAGGTCGACACAATGAGGTAAACTTCCGGGATGTGAACTCGGTAGCCCAGAAATTCGGTCAAGACACGGAAGCCAGGTAGCAGGCAGGGACTTTGCTCAGCCACAGCTGGGGGGTTCTTCAGGTTGTCTGTGGGTTGGAGAGGAGGCACGAAATGCAGCTGAGAACAACTACTTCTGGTCAAGGTTGGGGTGGACATACCAGGGGTTCCTTCCACCCACCCTTATCTTACAGACACAGGACCAAAAATACACGTTCACAAAGTTGAGCGAAAGAAAGCACTCAGGTGTAATTCATTTTCCTAGTCTTGACACCTCATTCATTCACTCATCCATCCATTTATTAAGTCTTTCGTTCACTCACTCATCCATCCATCCATCCATCCATCCATCCATCCATCCATTCATTCATCCACCCATTTATTAATTCATTCATCTATCCACTCATTCATTCATACATCCATTCAAAGGCAAGTATATACTAAATGCCAACCACCTAGGAAGCAACCAGGCAGTTTTGTATTAGGCAACCTGGAATCAGAAGCACAGGGTGGTGGAAGGGGTGGACAGTAAGTGATGAAACACAAGCACTAGGAGAAAGTGAGGCACACTGCAGAGGATAGTAGGAGGGACATGGAGGATTGACAGAGGTGCCGTGACTTGGGCAAGACCCTCCTCTCCTGGAGGAACTGAGACTCACCCAAAGGATGAGCTCTATGGGCCAGAAAAGGCACACAGGCAGCAGAAGCCAATTGGGAAGTTCATGCCCTTGTCAGGCATGTGACCAGATGGGGACCCTGGGAGTGCTGGGGAGCAGCATCCAGGGGCTGCAGAGCATGGAGGCAGGGAGGTGTTGCCCAGCAGTCCTGAGGTGGGGGTCATCTGGGGCTCATCTGAGAGAAGGGTCTAGGGGGTCCTGCTGCAAAGAGCTCCACAGGTCCTGTGGCATCGCTCATATCCCAGGATGAGGAGGGGCCCACACTCACCCATCATGATAGCCATGCCCTCGGTGCTGTGCTCCACCCAGGAGCCCACAGACAGACCATCCTTGAATCGGGCACGGAGAGAGGGGCTAGACAGGAAGTGCAGCAGCAGTTTCAAGGCCAACACAGTAGTGCTGGGATGCAAGTGGCCCTGCAGGAGCAGCAGGAACCAGTCAGGGCCCAGGCTCAGAAACATCTCCTCCTTTGACCTGGGGGTCAGTAAATACAGTCCATTACCTTTCAACCCATGAGCAAGTGTCACTTCCAGAAGAGACAATGCCCAGCCTCACAAGTCCCCTGGGAAAGGCAGTGAAGTTTGACACTTGGTTATGACCTAGTGAATCATATACTAGCACATTTTGAAAGAATGCAGAGTAACATAATAGAATTTCTGCACAGTGGATAAATTTGTCCATTAATTGCTGCAATATAAATTGGCCAAAGCTTTGCAAAGCAACTGGGAACTATGCATGAAGGTAGATAAAATCCTGTGTGCTCCTTAATTTCCCAGCTTCACCACTATTCATATGTACATAGTGCAGGGACAGCCACCTAATTTATTTACCGCTGATCTCATCATAGAAAATACAATGCTTGATTATCTCCTTTTTAAAGACCTTAGTCAAAACTACTCTAAGTGGAATAGTCCAATATTTAGTCATCTTTATCAGTTTAAGAAAAGAAAAGCCATGGACTACCACTTTTAAAAAATAATTTTAAAATGATGAGTCTGGAGAATACAGACTTGCTGGAGGTATGAAGGGGCCAGGAGGGCCAGGAGGTGGGTGGCAAGGACACTGGCTGAGCACAGGACTCAGACTCAGGAGTCAGGGAAAGAACCATCTGTAAGGCGCAGTGGTCTCAGCTTCAGCTGCCAGACTAGGCAAAGTAGGGGTGGAGCTAGTGTCCCCTGGAATGAGTGGTGGAGTAGGGCCCAAGAAACTGTCCTCTTTCCTATCCTTGCCTGTGATGTTTACAGACTGGCAGAGCTCTTAATGTGCTCTGGTCATTCAACTCAATGAGGATGATGATTATGGGGATGATAGGGATGATGATGGTGATAATGGTGGTGATGATGAATGATGCTCATGATGGTTACGGTAATGGTGGTGATGGTGATAGTGGTGATGGTGCTGTGGTGGTGATGATGATGGTAGTGGTGATGGTGGTGATGATGGTGATTATATGATGCTGATGGTGGTGATGGTGTTGGTTATGATAGTGATGATTGTAATGGTGATGACAGTAGTGATGTAATGTTTGTGATGAAGACAATGATAATATGATGGTGGTGATGATGATGATGGCAGTCATATACTACATGATGATGTTGAAGATGGTGGTGATGATGAAAACAGTGGTGATGACAGTGAAGATGGTGGTGATGACAGTAAAGATGGTGGTAGTGGTGAAGAAGGTGGTGATGATGGTAATGATGGTGGTGATGGTGGTGATGATAGTGGTGACACTGGGAATGACAGCAGTTTATAGAGCTCTTACAGTTTCCCAGACACCGTTCTCAGTTCTCTCTACACAGTAATTCATTTCATCCTCATCATAGCCATCTGTGAAAAGTATTATTTTTAGTTTCACACAAACAAATAGATAGAGGCATACAGAGCTTGCACAGCCATCTTGAGTCCCTGGGGGCAGGGTTGGAACCCAGCCCAGAAGGTCCAGATGCTACCATCCAGGTGCTTACCTACTATACTACATTCTTTTTAAAAAAGATGAAAAAGAATAGAGCTACAGTTGCTCATTGCCAAGACATCCTCCAGTGTTAGCATGTTTCAATTCTAAAAATGTAGACTTATACACTGGTAAATTTGCAACTATGATTTTCAAGGTTGCTTTGTTGAGGGGTAATCCCCACTCTGCAAACACACAAACACACTAAGTATGAACTCAGAGAAGCTGAAGAATTGTACAGACGTGCTCACAGCTCCATTCCAGGAGCCAGAAACAGTGCCTGAAATGCAATAGGCACTCAGAAAATAGGTGCTGAGCAAATGACTCCAGGGTTGCAAGCAGTCAGCGAGGAGAGCTAATGGAATCAGCTTTATGACTACACAGTACTGCAGAAGTTAATTGAAGGCAGATACTACTTTTTACCAAGTTGGAAAAACAACTAACACACTAAGAGTAAAGAGCGGAAGAATTTGGCAAGGCTTTTCCTTGATGAATGTTACTTGGGCTAACCATTTCGCCATTCTGCTGTCTGCCAAGTACAGGACATCAAAGTCAGTGATCATCACAACCGCCAAAACAAAAACAATTACAGGATAGCAATGGTGACAAAAGAGCTGATTGAAATGACACTGAATCTGTTTCCAGTTATTCTTTCCCATTGAACTTTGGCATTCGAATATCTCAGGGCAAGGTCTGGTTTATTGGGTGAAGAAAATACAATTTTCATTCTGCCTCGTGTAGGAAACACATCACGGAAAACAGACTCAGAGATGCTAAACTTTTCATTAAGAAAAGATTTTAATACTGCACCCTGTAGGAGGCGACCTCGTGCCAAATTGCTCTTCCTGGAGCTACTCACTCAGAGGACAGATGGAATTGGGGGGAAGAGAGTACGCCGAGCAGCATCTCCAGCAACTGGTTTCGGAGCCTGATTGTCTTTCCAGATGTTTGGCTTCCAGCTACAAAACAGAAAATTCAGATTTGAGAGAAAACGGATGTAAAGAGACATAACATTCACTGCAGTGAGCCATCACATTCATCAAATGCTTAGTTTACTCAGGAATTGGGGCACGGATGGGACTCAAATTTTGGCACTTAATTCTAGATTACAATGCAATCCTTAAAAGAATTTCAGGAAATGCTGTTAAAGTTCCCTTTACCTAGAAATGTCTTCAATGGACCTGTCTTTGAACAACAGAAAAATGATGAAGGCAAATTTATCTTTCAGTAGAATCTGTTTAGGTTATCGTAGGCTGCAGCATTCCCAGAGCAATCTGGTATGTGGCGGTTTTATAGGCAACATCAGGGATCGGGTGGTAAAGACTATAGTCTGTGTTCTCTGGGTTTCTGCCCTCAACCCACTTCCAGACAAGACTTCTGTATGTTTTTCATTTATGTTGCCTTGAAAATAGAGGAGCCACAGCACAGGACACAAGAAGAAACATGGCTTCCCAAGTATCACTGAAGCCCCAGGAGATATCCTAACAATGCTTTACTACAATTAGTTAGAAGTTTCAGAGTGAAGTCTACATGCAAAAATGCAAAGTTTGCATAAAGGAGCTCACGCTGGGTCAGTACCCATCATTTATCCCTTTGCTTGCTGGGCATCTTGTAAGCACTTCAGGATTGCCACACCCTGCTGCCGAGAAAGCGTAGGGGAGGCAGTTCGGAGATTCAGGCTCAGATTTGCCTCTGCAGTATTTGGATTCTGGCCCCTGCTCTGACTAAGGTCCTAATCCCACTGAGCCTCACTTCCTGACTCTCAAAAATGGGGTGCACAATTCCTACTCTGGGGGTCTGATCTGAGGACATGGGGTAACATAATTTATATAGGTTGGGTGATGCTGTCCCCGAGTGTCTTCTGTGACAACAGGACTGTTTCTTACCTGCCCAGTCCAATACCATGGTCACTAGCCTCGTGTGCCTCCTTGGGCTCTCGGAATGTGGCTAGGCTGAGGAACTGAATTTTCAACTGCATTTAAGTTTAATTAATTAAATTGTGATTACAAATGGTCACATGTGGCAAGAGGCTCTGATCTTGGGCAGCACGGGCCTGGAGGGCCTGGGACACAGTGGACATCATGTTCCCCTCACACCACCTGAGTAGAGGGGCCGCTGAACAAGGCGGGGGTGCGGCCCCGTACCCAGTCAGGGTGAGAGTGTATCCCAAGGAAACCAGTCCCAGACTGCACATTACGTAAAGCCCCATGGGCCTCAGAAGAAAGGGAGGACACAACGGTGTGGCAGCACAGTGTGGTGTGGCAGGGCTGAGGACACTGGCCTAGAGGAGGAGTGGGGATGGGGCGGGCAGGGGTGGCTTCTCTGGAGAGACCAGCATGGGCAAACCAGGAGTGGAGGCTGCCCCCCGTGCACTGGGACCTCAGGTGCTTAAGAGTGTGGGAGCCAGGGCACAGGGGTCCACCCAGGAAGCACCGCCAAGGCCCGGGTGCTATCTCAGGGAGCTGACTGTCCCACAGGCTTCAGAAAGCAGCTGAGATTCTAGAGCAGGAATATGTGACCCTGATCATAAATCTGCTCAGCTGTGGGTGCCTTCCTGCCTCCCTCATCCCCTAGCATCTGGGCAAGGTCCTCTCACCAGGCACCGAGGAGGCCGGGGCTCCTTCCACACAGATCTGCGTCTCTTCCACTGAGGAAGGCTTGAGGGTGTACACAACAAAGAGCCCAATCCTGGACACAGCAAGAAAGAAGGGTGAGAGGAATCGTTATCTCACGGTCCACACAGTGTTTACAGAAACTTCTAAACTCTGTCGGGATTCATCAGAGAAGTGACCTCTGGCATTTGTGGATCAGCATATGGGGAGGGTGAGGCTAAGGGTGGCTCTGGCTGGCAGGCACTCTGGGTGAATGCAGGAGCCACCACTGCTGCAGGGACAGTCATACTTATGCGGAGGTGTCTGAGCAGCGGGGGTCACTAGACACCGGTGGAGGAAACCGCTTCGCCCCCCAAGTCCCCCTCTTCTTCCAACTCTCAGCCCTGAACAGGACCTTCCTAGCAGCATCCTAGTGCTGTCACTGGGCTGAGCACAGCGAGGACACAGCTGGCCCAGTCCCTTTATAATAGTCCAGGAGCTTGGCGAGGTACCTAAGCAGGTCCCGGATGCTGAAGTGGCCCCTCAGCTGGCAGCCGAGGATGCCAATGATGGTGGGGACCTTGGCAGGAGCAAGGCTGGGCTCGTTGAAGAGGAAGATGAGCTTGGGGATGAGCTGTGCCTGGTGGGCGACCTCGGCGTTCCTTGCCCCTTCCCTGCAAGCCCAGGAGAGAGGCAATAAAAGCTTTTACTGGAATGAACCAAATTCGCTATGTTTCTGCTAAAAAGCTTTTCAACACTAGGCTTGTTCCTGACTCCAATCCTCTTTTGGCACCTTGTCAAGATGCCATCAGACACCCATCAAATATGCGTCTGCCAAGTGCCAGAGCCGCTGGGGCACTGCCCCCAGCCCTCCATCCTCCGGAAACCGCCTTCAAAGACAAGCCCCAATTATTGACTTAAATCCTGAGCCTCAAGGAAAACTAATGCCGGCCTCAGAAAACTCAGAACCAAGACAGCAGACACTCATGTGACCCAGAGCCAGTCCCCAAGCAGAAGCGAGGGCCTGTCTGGATGTGTGTGCCATCTTCCTGCCCGCCCAAGCCACAAAGTAGATTTGAGTATCCCTCCTTGGGGTAACCACAAAGCCAGTTTCCAGTAAATTCTACTCCCCCAAAGAAAGCAGCTCCCAGGGTAAATGTCTGTTTCTTAGAAAACAACAATTTCAGGTGGAGAAAGTAAAAGGGAGAGGGGCGGGCACAAGAGGAGAGGAATTTGGGTGGGAGGATCACCCCTCTGGCACCATCTCTTTGACCGGAATGCACTGAATTCTGCTGAGCTCCACATTCCCGGTACCCAAAGGAGGCAAAAGAAGCCCTGTTCTGTGCTGGGGAGGCTGCACCCAGCAACTGCGAGCTTGTCTGCCTGGACAGGTGTGTGCTTTTCTGAATTCCCAGCATTAAAAATGGTGTGGGAAATATAGTGAGATTGTAATAAGCTCTCCGTAGTAAGAGTCTGGATGAAGAGATGTTTACAGATGCATCCCAAAAGCTAAGAGTGCTAGTGGCCACGGGAACAGCCAGAGAGGGTGAGGGGGCAGAAGGTCCTTCAGCAGCACCTCTTCCTGTCCCTTTCCAATCACTCCAGAGGAAGAGCCAGCCTGCTAGCCCAGCTACAGGGCCCAAGTTGGCCCAAAGAAACTCAGCCCTGTTTCCAGGACCATCACATAATGGAACAGCCCTGCCTCTGCCAACCCTGCTAAGCCCAGGAGCTGCCCAGTAGCCACCTGGCAACCACGGAAGTGGTCTGCAGAAATGACACAGCAGAGGGGTGACAGGAGCAGGGACAGAGCTCAGGCAGAGTCCCATGAAGGCCAGAGAAGGGGGCCGCCCCTTTCCCTTCTGGAGCCATGCATGCCCCCTTTAACTGCCCCCTTTCCCTACTCTTCGCTTCCCTCCCTTCCCCTTCCTGTCCTTCTTCTTCCTCCTCCTTCCTCAAGCTGCTTTGGGGTCTGTTTCTGCCAGGTGCTACCAAAATAACCCTGGTCAGTTAGAGAAGTGGCATGGACAAGTCTTGCAGGAGAGTGAGCCAAGAAGCAGGATGAGCCCAGGAGCTGTTTTCCTCTGCCGGCCACACAGGCTGAACCTAGATTTGGTGCTGGTTCCTTGAGTTACAGAGGTTCCTAAGCCCCCAGCTCCTGCTCTCCTGAGTCCAAGGCCATCAAAGGACAGAGACCTGTTCCATGTATATGACCACCAGAAAGGACAGCTCCCACATGCCCACCCTGGATGCAGAGAGGAGGCCACGGTCTCTGAGCCTCAGTTATCCTGCCCTCTCAGTCCTTATTCCTGGCAGGAAGACTCAGAACAAACCCGGGGCTCTGGGCACCCACATACCTCGGCGACTGGAGGATGTCCACAAGGTGGGAGAAGAGGGTGAGCTCCAGGTTGTCTGCAGTGTTCATCCAGAGCTAGAAGACAGGACACCCACACTCAGGCCAAAGCATGCATGGGGCAAGGTCTGCAGGCAGTATGGTGCCAACCATGGGTCTCCTGAAGCCTGGAGCCAGTTCTGCAATGGGACCAGCTCCTCTGACCTCAGGCAGGTGAAGGCACTTCTCCTGGGGAAGCTCAAACACACCCCTCTCCTCCTGGTTCTACTGCTGCCCGGTGCTCACTGTGGGTCTGGGTTCCAACCAAGATCACCTGCACTAACTGCGCCTGCGTCTGCCCAGTGCTGGGCCCACCCCGATGAGACCATATGGCAGACACATTGCATTCATACTGGAGTTTACAAGACAACAGAGGTCCCACTCTACAGATGAGAAAGTAAAGGCAGAGGCAGAGCAACTGAGTGACAGGTGTCATTCTCCACCATCAAGTAGGAGGAAAGGAACTGAAAGCCAGGCTCTAGCCTTTTGGGTTTTACACTTCATGAAATATGCATGGCTTTAAGTACAGCAGAAAAAGCAGCTGTCACCCTGCCTCAGGGCGGGACTGGTGGTGTGCCCTCCCATCCCATTGCTTCTTCCTTCCTATTTGTCATCTCTAAATCCTGATAATTCCCAAGGCCCAGGATACAACAGGTGGGGACATGGTCATAAGAGTGTACTCAAAGCAGCAAAAAGAGCTCAGCCTACAAACAATGCCATGTACCCAAGGGAAGAGGGTCATAAAAATCCTCAGAACCATGGGACAGAGCTGCAGGGAGATGTTTCAAGGCACTCCTGAGATGCCTGAAATCACAACTGGGTGTGCACTGTTTGTCCTATACCTGTAAACCTATGATGGAGTTCAATTTATAAAGTAGGCACAACAGGAGATTAACAGTAATAACTGATAACACAATAGAATTATAATAGCAAATACTGTCATGGCTTATTTAAAATTTATGAGTTGAATATGTAATACAACCACCATTGTTAATTCCCTACCACTTTGTTTGTAACTCTGTATTGTCTGTATTGTGCTTGTGATATGTTGTAAAATGTTGTATG